TATAACAGTTCTTATTCACTCTGCACTTTAATCACACCTCAGATCTCCCAAATACCACACTCTATCTCCTTCTTCGCTTTCATTCACTCTGACTGACTCACCCTCTGCCTCTGCCTCTTTATTACATCTCTCTCTGCTCTGCCTCTCAGCAACATTAGCCTGCAACATGAATATGCATGACTACTTAACATAATAAGGGTGACCGCTAGTTACCTCCCCCTTTAAATGTTTGTTTGGCAGGGGAAACACGTTTTTCCTCCTAAACAAATAGGCACAATTGCATTAAACTTCACTTACTATACAACACAATTCTATAGGCAATACCACATTTAATATAACGATTACTATACCTTATACACTAAACATTTCACTACTATTCAATAATATACTTTACCTTATCAGTGACACTTATTATTTTACATTTAACATTACCAACCTTAGAGAAATCACAATCAGGAAACTTTTACATAAATTTATTTTATTTACATAAAATAATTAGCTAGTAAATCATAGTCCATTCCAGTTTCTTTTGTAAGTTCTAGCCTCATTCGCCTAGCCTCCTGGAAAGCGCATCCACTACAATGTTGTGGGCTTTCGAGGCATGATCTGAGTCTATGCTGCAAAGTCCAAATTTGCAAAGTCCAAGTCTTTCACCTTCTTGTTGTAATAAGGTGCACCGTGGACTGGTCCGATTGTTACTGCCTCCTTCAGCTGGACACATGTCTGCTGGCACTCAGGAGTCCCTCTGTTGATCACTGGCTCCTTCTGCAACCTTTTCCATTTACCGGTGGTCATCGGCCACTTGGTTGTCCACTGGATGTTGTCTGCACAAAATCGCAACCTTTTCCGTTTACCGGTGGTCATCGGCCACTTGGTTGTCCACTGGATGTTGTCTGCACAAAATCTAACGCTACCGTCAGGCTTGTATATAAGTACTATGGGTGCAGCCCAGGGACTCTCAGATGGGGTGATTATCCCTGCCTTTAGCATCTCCTGGACCTCCCGTCGTACTTTCTTGACATAATCCCCAGTGATCCTATATGGGGTAACAGCTATGGGGCTGGCATCCCCGGTGTTAATTCGGTGGACTACCCCCTTGACTTTCCCAGGTTTATTAGTGAAGATGGTTTGGTATTTTTGCATGATCTCCACTACGTCTTTTCTCTGTTGTGTGGTAAGGGAGTAGTCTAGATTTACTTCCTCTGGATTAACACATAGTTCTCCTTTCCCTTCCCAGCACATGCGTTCTTCGTTATCACTTGGGTCCTCTCTAATAGCATATAGGGTCCAGAGATTTCTTCGACAGTAAGGTTTGAATATGTTGACATACACAACCTTGCGACCCTCCTCCTCCTTTTGAATTACATCACTTACATTGTTCATTTTTGAAACTACTTTATAGGGACCCACTCAAGCTAATTTTAGCTTGTGACCCTTGACTGGCCTAAGTAAAAGAACTTCATATTCTGGCCCAAAAGTTCTTTCCCAGGCTTTCCTGTCAGACCAGGTCTTCTGCTTGGCCTGGGCAGCCTTTAGCTTCTTTCCAGCTATCTCCAGTGACTTCTGCAGGGTGTTTTGCAATCTGTTCATGTAGTCTATTACTGACTCTGGGTCATTTTCACTATGGTCTTCCCAGTTCATGCGGAGCAAATCTAAAGGTCTGTGCACCTCCCGTCCTAGCAACAACTCCAAGGACTGAATCCAGTGCTTTCCTGCAGAATGCTCTTATAGGTGTATCATAGGGGTTGTATTTTGCAGTCCCAATCATTTGGGTTCTCTGCCACATAGGCCTTAATCGTGCGCACTAATGTGCCATTAAAATTTTCAATTAGTCCATTAGTCTTAGGACGATATGGTGTAGAGCTGATTTGGGTTATTCCACAAGCCTCCCATAACCTCTTTATCAGTCTGGAGGTGAAGCTAGTTCCCAAATCACTATTCCGCTAGCAAATCCGAATCGGCTCATGTAATTGATTAAGGCATCTGCCACTGTGTCAGTTTCCATGTTACGTAATGGAATTGCCTCAGGATATCTAGTGGCAAAGTCCATAATGGTCAGAATGTACTTATTTCCCCTTCTGGTGGCTTTAGGCAAAGGACCAACCAGATTGATTCCCAGCCTTTGGAATGGGGTAGAGATGACTGGCAAAGGACATAATTTGGCTTTAGTCCTGTCCTGCCCTGTCCCTCATCTCTGACAAACATCACAAGTTCTGCAATAATAATCTGTTTACCCATACCTGGCCAAAAGAAGTTCTGGACAACCCTTCTTTTGGTTTGTGTGATCCCCATGTGTGCCCCAAACAAACTACTGTGAGCTTGATTTATGATTTTCTCCCTGTATTTACTTGGGACCACTAATTGCTTTTGGGGTTCTCATTTTCCTCTGTATGGGGTGGCTAAAGTTTCCCTATACAAAAGTTCTTTATACATGCAAAAATCTCTCAGGGCATTCAGGAGACAATACAGTGGGCGTTCTGGCTGCTTCAAAGCAAACCCCCAAGCTAATGTTCTCCTTCTGCTTCTAGGCAAAATAATGTTTACTGGGATTCTTCAGAAGCATGAGATCAACTTCAGCACCACTATTAATCTGGTATTCAAGGGACTCTCCCTCTCCCAGTATCCCTCTGCTACTGTATCCAATTCTGCTGCAGTGGGTGATGTTTGGCCCCCCTTTGAGCGTGTAAGTACAAAAGCACTTTTGACATGCTCTATTAAGTCCCAACTGATTAGAAAAGCAGCTCGTATTTCATCTGAAACTGCCACCTGCCACTTTCCAGACCAATTCCCATAGTTTATTTGAACCTCTGCCACTTTCAGCACTACAGATTATTTCCCAATTACTTCTAGGGTCATAGTTCTGCCTGGGAATATGTCATCCTGGGCTATCAAATCAATGTACTATAGAAATTTGAGATCCTGTGTCCCTTATAGCAATGTATTTCCTTCCTCCCACTAATATCTCTTCACCAGCATTTTTGAGAAGGGTATTGTCATTTTTGATATAACAATGTCCTATAGAGGCTTCAGGAAGTAGAAGCTGTGGTTGCCATGGAAACAGGACTCTGGTTACTGCTTCCCTCAGAGGATTCAGCTTGTTTTACACTTTTTTGGTTTGATTATCATTCTTCCCAGTATTAAGTTCATTTCGCACACACTGGAACTGTAAATGCCCAGACTGGACACAGTTGTAACATTTATATTTCCTTCTCTCGTTCTGAGGAGATTTGGTAAACTTTTCCTCAGAGTTCATTTGGTTCTGAGGACTAGGCCATGCTAATTTAAGATGAGGCACCACCCTGGCCTTCATTCCCTGATGTTTTTCTGTGGTACTGTTTGTTGAAAGGTTGGCTGAAGGATTTCTTATGGTTGTCGCAGGTTGGCTTGTTAACTTGTACTCCCTAATATGATCTGCCTGTTTCAGCTTCTATTAGAATTTTAGGATTTTTGTCCCTAACTAGATAACGCAATTCCCCAGGTAAAATAGAGTAAAATTGTTCTAAGCCTAACACGATTTTAATCTCTTCTAGAGAAGTAACTTTTTTACATGTCATCCATTTGTCCAGATACTGGTGTAACTTGCAATTAAATGCAGACTTCCAAAGAATAGCAAGGAGAGACAAGAGGGCCTTCTTAAATGAACAGTGCAAAGATACAGAGGAAAAGAATAGAAAAGGAAAAACCAGAGACCTCTTCAAGAAAACTGGAGATATTAAAGGAACCTTTTGTGCAAAGATGGACATGATAAAGGAAAAAAAATGGTAGGGACCTAACAAAAGCAGAAGACATCAAGGAGAGGTGGCAAGAATACACAGAGGATCTGTTGACCTGGACAACCCAGATAGTGTGGTTGCTGACCTTGAGCCAGACATCCTGGAGAGTGAAGTCACAGAGGTCTACTTGAAGAACCATGGTTACAGGCAAGTAACCTGTCTTTCTGCTTCATTTACTATGCAAAAGCCTTTGACTGTATGGACCACAGCAAACTATGGCAAGACCTTAAAGAAATGGGAGTGCCTGACCACCTTATCTATCTCCTGAGAAATCTATCTGTGGGACAGGAAGGAACAGTTAGAACTGGATATGGAACAACTGATTGGTTCAAAATTGGGTAAGGAGTACGACAAGGCTGTATATTGTCTCTCTACTTATTTAACTTATATGCAGAATACATCATGCGAAAGGCAGGACTGGATGAAACC